GTGTGTGCGGGTGTGTGCGTACGTGGGTGTGTGTGCGCGCGCGTGTGGGTGTCTGCGTGTGTGCGGGGGTGTGTGTGTGTGCACAGGTGTGTGTGAGTGTATACGGGTGTGTGTGTGTGTGGGTGTGTGTGTGTGTGCGGGGGGGGGTGTGTGTGTGTGCGGGTGTGTATGTTTGTGGGGAAGGGGGCGCGCAGAGAGAGTGTGTGTGAGATGGAGGGATTACGCTGAGTGACTTTGCCGTCGCACCTCTCGCAAACTCCTCAATCATTTCAATACAAGCCTCATTTGGCCACATCTGGAGGATTGTGTCCAGTTCTGGTCGCCTCATTACAGGAAAGACGTGGAAGCATTGGAAAAGGTGCAGAGGAGATTTGCCAGGATGTTGCCTGGAATGGAGGGAAGGTCTTACGAGGAAAGGTTGAGAGAGCTAAGGCTTTTCTCTTTAGAACAACGAAGGATGAGAGGTGACTTGATAGAGGTGTAGAAAATGATCAAAGGTATAGATAGCGTGGACAGCCAGAGACTTATCCTCGGGTGGAGGTAGCTATTACGAGGCGGCATAGTTTTAAAGTGAGTGGAGGTAGATATAGGGGAGACGTCAGAGGTAGGTTCTTTACTCAGAGAGTGGTCTGGGCGTGGAATGCATTGCCGGAGAGGGTAGTGGAGTCGGCCTCATTAGGGGCATTTAAACGGCTATTAGATAGGCATATGGATGACAGTATAAGGTAGGGGTGGAGGTTAGATAGACCTTAGGATTAGCGTAAAAGTTTGGCACAACATCGTGGGCCGAAGGGCCTGTACAGTGCTGTACTGTTCTATGTTCTATGTTCTATGTTCATTTCGTACACCAGCTCTACAGCAAGTGCTGTAACCTTGAAATCGAGATGGGGTCCATATTCTCAGCTTGTGCTCAAGATATAACTGTACAGTTACGAGATGCTGCCAAACAGATGAGGCAACGGAACTACACCACCTACATGCACATCAAGAGCAAGAAACTGGAGAAACTTGGCATCACCACCAGCAATAACCAAGTCCCCCCGGTACCACAGTTGAAGTGGTACTGCCATGAGAAAATCCATCATCAACTAATCTGACCACACCCTTCAACAGGATGAGATTTAAATTCTCAGCTGAGGGCTCAATTTCTGCCCCATCAGCAAAATGGACCCTATTAGTATCGCGGCAGACACAGAGGAATTCATCAGATGAATGAGACTCCAGGAATTCTGTCAAGATGTCAGCAGGGAGCCCAATGAGACAACCAGTGAACCAGATCAGTTGACAGAGAGATCCATGGGGGAGCGGGCAAGGAAGGAGTTGAATTAGACCCCTCTGGAGGGCCATTGCACAGGCCTTGACAGGTATGCTCAAACCATCAGAGAATGTGTGAATGCCAGATTTATCAGCCGCATTCACAAGGTGGTGCAAAATGTCACCCAGGCTCAACGCAACGCCATCCGTGCTCTCAAGACCAATTGCAACTTTGTCATCAAACCAGTAGATAGGGAGAAGCCATCATCATACAGAATAGAACGGATTACTGCAAGAAAGTGTACAAGCAACTGAATAACCAGGAACACTACAGACAACTACCTGCCGATTTGACCAAAGAACACACCCGTCAACTGAACAGAATGGTCAAGACTTTCGATCCAGTCCTTCAGAGTACCGTACGCACTCTCATCTCATGTACTTCCCATGTGGGGGACTTCTGCTGCCTTCCAAAAATACACAAAGCCAACACACCTGGATGTCCTGTTGTATCAGGCAATGGGACCCTATGTGAGAACTTCTCTGGCTATTTTGAGGGCATCTTGAAACCCATTGTACATGAAACCCTCAGCTTCTGTTGCGACATTACAGATTTCTTACAGAAACTTAGCACCCACGGACCAGGTGGACCAGGAACATTCCTTGTCACAGTGGAAGTTTCAGCATTCTACACCAGCATCCCCCAATATGATGACATCGCTGCAACAGCCTCAGTACTCAATACCAACAACTGCCAATTTCCAGACACCATCCTACAACTCATCCACTTCATCCTCGACCACAACTTCTTCACCTTTGGCAACCAGTTCTTCATCCAGGCACATGGAACAGCCACGGGGACCAATATGCCAATATTTTTATGCACAGGTTCGAGCAAGACTTGTTTGCTGCACAGAACCTCTGACCAATGCTATATACTAGATAAATTGATGACATTTTCTTCCTTTGTACTCATGGCAAGGAATCACAGAAACAACTACATAGCGATATGAACAGGTTCCATCCCACCATCAGACTTACCGTGGACTACTCTTTAGAATCAGTCTCATTCTTGGAAACACACATCTCCATCAGGGATGGACACCTGAATACCTCACTCTACCGAAGCCCAGGATAATCTCCCGGGTGCTGCACTTCTGTAGCTTCTACCCTAAACATATTAAGACAGCCATTCCTTATGGACAAGCCCAACGCACACACAGGATCTGTTTGGATGAGGAGGAACGTAACAGACACCTGAAGGTGTTGAAGGAAGCTCAACTCATCGAACACCAGTTCCGATGTACCACAGAGAAAATCTGTAATGACCTCCTCAGAAGACAGACATGGGATATGACTGATAGGCTACCCTTCATCGGGAGTGGAGAGACTACGCCATGTTCTTCACAGCCTTCAACACATTATCGATGACGATGAGCACCACACCAAGATCTTTCCCACACCTCCACATTTCGCCTTCAAACAACCACCAAACCTTAAATAGACAATTCAGGACAACATCAACTACAGCACTATTCAAACCTGTCATGGTATCGTCTGCAAGACATGTCAGATCTTCGACATGGGCACTACCATCATATGTGGGAACACCACCCAGATACTCATTTGATTTGATCAACGTTGTCTATTTCATACACTGCAGGCAAGGATGCCCCAAAGCATGGTATATTTGTGAAACTGTGCAGACGCTACAACAACAGATGAATAGACACTGTGGAACAATCGCCAAACAGGGATGTTCCCTCCCAGTCGGGGAAAAGTTCAATGGTCAAGGACATTTGGCCTCGGATCTTCAGATAAACATCCTCCAAGGCAGATTTTGGTGTGCACAACAATGCAGGGTCGCTGAGCAGAAGCTGATAGCAAAGTTCGGTACTCCAAAGGATAGCCTCAACCTGCGGTTCATGTTGCAGTACAGGTGACCCCACCATCCTATACACTGTCTCACTCAGACACACACACACACACACACACACACACACACACACACACACACACACACACACACACACACACACACACACACACACACACACACACACACACACACACACACACACACACACACACACACACACACACACACACACACACACACCCTCTCTCCGTCTCTCTCTCCCCTCCCCACACACACTTTTCTCTCTCTCTGTTTCTCCGCCACGCACACACTCTCCCACACATACACTTTTCTGTCTCTCCTCTACACATACACTCTCTGTCTCTCACTCCCACAAACACGCACACACGCACACGCACGTACAAATCTACGGGGTGGATTTGTATTTGCAGATACATTCTATTTTGTTCAAAAAGCACAAAATTTATAGACAGTCAGTCAATTTATAAGTTCCTATTTTAGAAATAAAACCAATCTGACTCCAAACGAAAACACGAACAGATTCTAAATAAAGCCTCACACCTAACATGCATTGTCTGACCTAAAATGTCACCTCTTCCTTACACTGATAAAACCTTTATTTCTCTCAGGGCAATGACTTAAAAGAAATTTGGGGATTTACATATACAAATGAATCAACTAAAACCTTCTAATTGATTAAAGATTAAACAGCATCTTAGGTTTGTTTGTGTGACCCTTTGATCTTTTACTTATAAATTCTGTGTTCTGTGTGCTTCTTTCTCACTTTACCTGATGACGGGGCTACGCTCTGAAAGCTTGTGTTTTGAAATAAACCTGTTGGACCATAACCTGGTGTTGTGTGATTTCTGACCATGTCCATCCTAGTCCAACACTGACACATCCGCATCTTTACTTGCTTAGTAATCAAGGTGCCAGGCTAATGCTGGGTGGGTCTGGTTTCAAGTCCAATCACAGCTTATGGAGCTAATTTAAAATTTAATTGATAAATCTGGAATTTAAATGTTAGACTCAGCATTGATGACCAGATTTAATGAGTACATTTTCACAATTTATCATACCTTGGAGCCTGAACTCACAGCATTTAGGATTTGTAGTGTACCAGAAATACTAGGCCTTTCCAACAATTACCTAAAAAGAATATCACAAGACCGTAAGATGTAGGTGCAGAAGTAGACCATTTAGCCCATCGAGCCTGTTCTTCCACTCAATGAGATCATGGCTGATCTGATAATCCTGAACTCCACTCTCCTGCCTTTTCCCTATATTTCTTGATTCCGTTACTGATTAAAAATCTGCCTGTCTGACGCTTGCATACACCTAACCTAACCTCAACAGCCCTCTGTGGTAAATAATTCCATTGTTTCACTACCCTCTGAGAGAAGAAATTCCTCCTTATCTCTCTTGAATGTGTGACATCTTATTCTGAGATTATGACCACTGGTCCTAGACTCTCCCACAAGGGGAAACAACTTTTTAACTCTGTCAGGTCCTCTAAGAATATTGTATGTCTCAATAAGATCTCCTCTCATTCTTCTACATTCCAACATGTATAGACCCAATCTATTCAATGTCTCCTCATAAGAAGATCTCTCTATATCTGCTTAGTGAACCTTGTTCATGTTTATTTAATGGATGGAGTACGTAGAATATGTGTTGGAAATTGGCAAAGGTGAAGTTAAAAAAATACCCCATTCATTGATTGCATTGGTATATTTTTAATGTACTGTGGATCCAGAGCAGCCTCACATTGATCAGAATCATAAAGGTACAAAAGACTCTTCTTCTCCAGTTTTCTCACCTGCTGTTTTGGAGGCACTGTCTCAAGCTACAATTTGGTTTGGCAATAGCAGCAATTTAACAGTTTGCACAGTTGATTGATACATCATAATGCAAGAATAATTCAAAGGAATTCATAACAAAGGGAGTTATATAAAATCGACAAGCTTTCTTTACAGCAACTACATTAGGTTTACATTTCTGTTCAGATGGAGGCAGTGGTAATGGCAGTGGTGTATTGGTAATGGTAATTTTATTTACTTAGTAATCCAGGTGCCCAGGCTAATAATCTCAGGGTAAGGTTTCAAGTCCTACCACAGTATCTGGTGCAATTTAAAATTTAATTTGTGAATCTGGAACTTAAATGTTAGACTCTGTATTGGTGACCATAAAGTCATTATTGATCATTTATAAACCCATTTGCTTATGAAGGTCTCTTCAGAAAGAAAATTTGTCACCAGTAACTGGGTTAGCCTATATGTGACTCCAGGCCCACAGAAAAATGGTTAACTCTGAAATGGCCAAGCATGCCACTTAGCTTAAAGTAATTTAGAGATGGGCAACAAATACTGTCTTGGCAGCAATACCTACATCCCAAGAACGTCTCAAAAAAATAATCACAGCTTCCTTATCTCACCTTAATATTTTGCTCACTTCCAACTGAATTAGTTTTCAATTGTATGTCTTTCAGCTTCATCTTTCTTGTCCACTTTGGGACAAGATTCTATCTGCCTCTCCATCTCCCATTCTTGCTTGAAGGTTCTCCTTAAAACTAATCTCCTTAGCCAAACCTTTCCAATAGTTCCTCTTTTTCAAACCCATTTTTGTCTGTTTATATCTCTGTCAAGTACCCTGGGACATTGTTTATATTTAGTTGTGTTTTTTTTTGGGAAGTCCAATTTCCTTCAATATACTAACTCATTAAAGAGCCAAACTGAATTCTGTAAAAATATTGATGGATTTTACTCAAATGTAGGGTATCCAATTGACTTCTCAACATCAGTAGTTAGAATTGGAGCAGTACAATGAAATGGGCAATGAATACATCAAGGATATGAACATATTCTTTCATATGGCACACATTTCATCTGTGGAAAAAAATCAGGGTATTTGAGGCATTTATGCAATATGCAGGTTATATAATTAGTAATGTGTAATTAAAAGGGAAGCATTGCATATACATTTCTCTTGTACACAGTAGTACTTCTCATTAACATTATTTGAATCATATTCTTTTCATTTACTTTGTTCATTTTTTTTCATTTCTTGGTAAATTCTGATGTTCTTCTCAGGGTAGGTCACTTCAGACAGATTGAATTTACAGATGGCTTTATTATCAGTTGTCATCAGCAGAAATGTAACTGTGGAGAGGCAGAAAGGCAGAGTGCATGCAGGTAATCCAACCTAGAAAACAACACACAATAAAACAGTTAATCATTCTGTTTTACCATGATTTATTTAGGTTGGGTTTACATTGAATAGTTTTGTGAAAGAAATCTGTGTTATTATGTTGTAAGTTATAATAGTTTCAATAACTTGAAGACTGCTAGCTATAAGACTTCGTTTCAACATATTTACAGTTACGGAAACACTGTGTTAAAATAATCTTTTCAAGCTACTTTCTCTTTGGCTGTCCAATCACATGAATGATGTCACTTCCTTCTATTGTAACATAGACAACTACAGTTAACCCTTTATGGGACTTACTGTAATATATTCCATTGTATTATTGCGTCCTCCTGAGGGGCCTTAAAATTTAGCAATTTCTAATGTTATGTAGTATTCAAATGGCAGTGTGCATGCAACTTCACACTATTAAAAAAATCACTTTATTCCATTTAGGGCTTCAGGGAAATTGTGCATTCTTGTCAGTTTATGCCCTTATTTTGTATTATGCACATATAACAATTCTAGTAAGAATGACTTAGGCATGTTTTTGCTTTCTTTCCATGCATAATGTAAAAAAAAAAATTTTCATCGCAATGCAAATGATTTACAACATGGATGAAGTTACTGAGTTTTTCGTAATTGTTGGATGGGAGATTTTCAGCTTGTTGTAGCTGTGTTTGTGTAAGTATCAGCATTAACTGGTATTGTTGTTGTATAATTGAAAACATTGACATCTACATAATTTGAGACTGACATTACATTGCTAGTTTTACATTCACCTGAAGTGGTGAACAAGCTCAGTAACACAATGATTGCAATGGAGTCAGTTTGTCCATGAGAATGCAGTTTAATTTTATTTTATTCATTGTGGAGTTTTTCTATCAAATCTCTAGAACCTTATTATTGTGAGAAATCTCATGCTATGGCCTCCTTCCTTTCAACATCAAAATTACCCCATTAGAACAAAAAATTGTAGATGCATCCACTTGCAGTGAGCTATAACTAGCAATGGAAATTGGATTTGTTTGATATCTTTTGCACATAACTGCAAGGAAAGTTGTGGGCAGTGCAAAGATGGCTATTTAATATTGTTGCTAAAGGATAAAGTTTTCACCATTAGCTAAACTTGTAAAATTGTACCGCTTATGGCCTAAGTATCTATTGATTAACAGATTGTATGTTGTCATTAGCATTTTTTCTCCCTGCTTTACTTTGTTTTATTAGACATTAATACATTTGTGTAAGTTCTAGTTCGGTTTCCAGTGGAATCCCATCCCTCCTATAATGTGGATTCCAGAAGTGCTCACAATCTATCTGTGGCCTAATCAATTTTTTATATACATCCAGGATAACTTCCCTGTTCTTAAACTCTCTGCCTTGACTGATGAAGGCAACTATCCAATCCTTAACCACTTTATCTACCTGTCCTGTTACCTTAAGGTACTGGTGGACATGCTCATCTCTGATCATCGGTGTTTCACAGGATACTTCCGTTCATCATGTATTCCCTTTGTTCTGCCCAAGTGCATATTTCACATTTGTTTGGGTTGAATTCCATTTGCCACTGATCAGCCCACCCGACTAGCCTGTCTCTATCCTGCAATTATCAATAGAAACATAGAAAAATAGAAGATAGGAGCAGGAGGAGGCCATTCAGCCCTTTGATCCTGCTCTGCCATTATTCACGATAATGGTTGATCGTCCACCTCAATAGCTTAATCCTGCTTTCTCTTCATAACCTTTGATCCCATTCGCCCCAAGTGCTCCATCTAGTCACCTCTTGAATACATTCAATGTTTTGGCATCAATTACTTCTTGTGGTAATGAATTCCACAGGCTCACCACTCTTTGGGTGAAGAAATGTTTCCTTATCTCCATCCTAAAACGTCTACCCCAAATCCTCAGACTGTGACCCCTAGTTCTGGATACACCTACCTTCAGGAACATCCTCCCTGCATCTAGCCTGTCCAGTCCTGTTAGAATTTTATAAGCCTCTATGAGATCCCCCCTCATTCATCTGAACTCTAGTGAAAATGATCGCAACCTAGTCAATCTCTCCTTATGCGTCAGACCCGTCATCCCCAGAATCAGCCTGGCAAACCTTCGCTGCCCTCCCTCAAGAGCAAGAGCATCCTTCTTCAGAAAAGGAGACCAAACTGTGCACAATATTCTAGGTGTGGCCTCACTAAGGCCCTGTATAACTACAACAACAAATCCCTGCTCCTGTACTCAAAACCTCTTGCAATGAAGGCCAACATACCATTTGCCTTCTTTACAACCTGTTGCAAATACATGCTTACCTTCAGCAACTGGTGCATAAGGATGCCCAGGTCCTGCTGCACACTCCCCTCTCCCAATTTACAGCCATTCAGGTAATAATCTGCCTTCTTGTTTTTGCTTCTGAAGTGACCAGCCTCACATTTATCCAATTTACTGCATCTACCATTGATTCGCCCACTCACCCAACCTGTCAAGATCATGCTGAAGAATCTATGCATCCTCATCACAGTTCATCCTCCCACCCAACTAGGTATCATCTGCAAATTTAGAGATGTTACATTTTGTTCCCTCATCCAAATCATTAATATACATTGTGAATAGCTGGAGGCCCAGCACTGATCCTTGTGGCACCTCACGAGTGACTGCCTGCCAATTTGAAAAGGACGCATTAATTCCTACTCTTTGTTTCCTCTCTGCCAACCAGTTTTCTATCCATCTCAATACAGTTCCCTAATCCCATGCTTTTAAATCTTGCAAATTAATCTCTTCTGTGGGACTTTGTCAAACACTTTCTGAAAGTCCAATAAACTACATCAATTGGCTCCCACTTGTCAACTCGACTAGTTACATCTTCATAGAATTCCACCAGATTTGTCAAGCATGATTTCCCCTTCATAAATCCATGCTTTCTAAATGCTCTGCCATAAAATCTTTGACAATGGATTTGAGAATTTTTCCGACTACTGATGTTAGGCTCACCAGTCTATAATGCCCCCTTTCTCTCTACCTCCCTTTTTGAATATTGGAGTGACATTAGCCACCCTCCAATCTGCAGGGACTGTTCCAGAGCCTATAGAATCCTGGAAGATGACCACCAACACATCCACTATTTCTAGAGCTACTTCCTTAAATACTCTGGGATGTAGATTATCAGGCCCTGGGGATTTATCAGCCTTCAATCCCAACAATTTTGTCAGCACCATTTCTCTACTAATATTGATCTCTCTCAGTTCCTCCCTCTCACTAAATCTTGCATCTTCCAACAATTCTGCTATCTGATTTGTGTCCTCTTTTGTGAAAACAGAACCAAAGTATGTATTCAGTTCCTCAGCCATTTCTTTGTCCCCTATTATACATTCCCCCATTTCTGTCTCTAGGGGACCTACATTTGTCTTTACCAATCTCCTTCTCTTCATGTACCTATAGAAACTCTTAGTGTCAGTCTTAATGTTCCCTGCAAGCTTACTTTCATACTCTATTTTCTCCTTCTTAATCAGTCCCTTGGTCCTTCTTTGCTGTCTCTAAGGCTATTCTCCTATTTACTGCCCTATCAATTTTTGAAACATTTGTGAACCTACTGATCAACCATCCTACATTCAAGTCTAAATCAATTATATATACCACAAGCAGCAACAGCACCCACACTGATCCCTGCGGAACCCCACTGGACAAAGACTTCCAGACACAAAAACACCCCTCAACAATTGCTGAGATAACAAGGTGTGGAGCTGGATGAACACAGCAGGCCAAGCAGCATCAGAGGAGCTGGAAGGCTGACATTTCGGGCCTAGACCCCTCGTCAACAATTGCTTCCTGTTTCTCACCACTCAATTGATTCTGGACACAATTAGCCAAATTTTCTCAGATCCTGGTATTTCTTTCCTTAGGTAAGGGGATGAAAACTGTTCACAGTATTCCAGCATGGTCTGAATACCATGCACAGCCTCCCATCTTTTACACCTTTGATATAATGGCCATCATTGCCTATTACCCACTAAACTTGAATGCTAGAGACAACACTGGCTGGAGCTGGAGGAACACAGCAGGCTAGGCAGCATCACAGGAGCAGGAATGTTGACGTTTCGGGTCAGGACCCTTCTTCAGAAATGGGGAGGGGGAAGGGAGCTCCGAAATAAATAGAGAGAGGAAGAGTGGGGCTGGGGAAAGGGAGGTGAGATGGTGATAGGTGAATGCAGAAAGAGAGTGGTGGGGATTGGTCAGTGGGATGGATGGGCGGGTAGGTGGGAGAGAAGATGGACAGGTTGTGTCAGGTCAAGGAGGGAGGATGGGTGGGGCTAGGGAAAGGTAGGTGGGGTGGTTATAGGTTGGATGCAGGTAGGGAGTAGTGGGGATTGGTTGGCGGGAAGGGTAGGGCGGATAGGTGGGTAAGAAGATGGACAGATTGTGTCAAGCTCAGGAGATGGGGATGAGAGGGATGTTTGGATGAGGGATGAGGCCGGGGATGGGGAGATTTTAAAACTAGTGAATTCTACGTTAAGGCCATCGGGCTGTAGGCTCCTGAGGTGGAATATGAGGCGTTGCTCCTCCTGTTTGCGTGTGGAGTCATTGTGACACTGGAGGAGGTCCAGCTCCCTTCCCCCTCCCCATTTCTGAAGAAGGGTCCTGACCCGAAACATCAACTTTCCTGCTCCTCTGATGCTGCCTGGCCTGCTGTGTTCCTCCAGCTCCACACTGTATTGTCTCTGACTCCAGCATCTGCAGTTCTATCTATCTCCGAACTAGGATGCTAGCATTTTGTGATTCTTGCATGAGCACTCCCAAATCTGTGGTATTTCTTATGGCAATACTAAATACCTCTCAATTAAAGTATATTCCTGAGAGGAAGAGGAATTGTAAAAATCATCCATGCCTTACCAAGAAAGTCAAGGATAACATAATGGCAAACACTTGGGCCTATCATACTGCAAATGTTAATGGCACTCTGGAGGATTGAGAGAACTTTAAACCTCAGCAAAGGGTTACTAAAAATGAAATCAGAAGAACAAAGATAAATT